CACGATTTTTTTTTTTCTGAGTCTGAGGCTAAATTCATGTATCCCAAAGACCAGTTTGTAAAATAAGGATTTTACAAAACTTGGTATGTCTCGAAGGTGCTTTTAAAACTCTTTAACACACTGCGAATGTTCTCCCCCGGTGCTGCTCATGCAAAGTGCAGTTGCAGGGCGGGCTGGGCTGTGGTGAAGCACACACGATGCTCAGAAGTTTGCTGTAACCCCACTGGAGCAGGGACCAATGCAGGGAAGATGTGCTGTCACAGGCTTGGGACTGGGCTTGCACAGCCTGCCTGGAGCCATGCAGCAGGGACTGCCACCGAAGGGAGAGCGTGGATGGCCATAAACCTGCACTGTGAGCTGGGATGGGACTGCAGGTAATGGTTCATTTAATTACTTGGTTATAACAACGAGAGCTCCAGCCCAGTGCTCCATGGAGCCCATGATGGTAAAGTTTTTTACCTCAGGCTCAGGCTGGGGAAGGTCTGCATCAGTGACCATTGTGCCTGTGGTGCAGGCACACCCCTCTGACCCAGGTAATGTAAATACGTTGGGTGAAGAATGAGAAATGTGATTTTTTTTTTTGAAAGAGCTTCTTCAGTCATTCCACATGTTAACTTAATGGAGCATTTAAGAGAAATCATTATTCTTCTAAGTAGGGGGATACATGTCATGCCTCTGCTCTGCAGACCAGCGGTGTCAACTCTTTTTTTGCTCCAACTCATAGTCTTGGTTATGCTTGGGATGTGCAATACCAGATCATGCATATCCTTTCAGCCTTAATCTGTTGGATATCTGGCCTGCAATATGGGCAGCAGCTGATCAAAGGTTTTGGTTTTGTTTCTTCTCAGAGTCATAGTGAATATTAAAAGTGTTTCAAATCACCTACCTGGTCTTTAGATTAAATTAATGCTTCCCACTTATATACTCTAATTTCAGTGGAAATAACAATATGTAAAAGTAAAAACCTTGTAGCTGATAGAAACCCACAGCTGCACAGGGATCACACATGCAGTGAAGAATGGCTCCAAACGCTAACTCCAATCAGCAGAAACCAATGATGCTCATGGAAGGGGCTTTTCAATAGGATTTGTAATTCATGTCAAAGTAGTTTAAATGCCTATGAAATCATGACTAGCTCTCACGACACTCAGAGGGAGAAATGGCTGCAATTTTCTCTCTTCCCTGCACGAGGCTGGTTTGTGGGGGGCAGCAGGCACTACAGCTCTGTGTCTGGGCCCACATTCCAAGATTTGGGAACACAGGGGGATGCTGGGGATGCACCGTGATCTTGTCCATGATCTCTGGCCCCTGTAGCTTCTCCCCGGAGCTCAAGCCTACACATTTTGTGTGCATTGCGTTATGAACTGAGAGAGATGTCACCTGTGTGTGGTTCCCTACCATGCCAGGCAGAGAACCAGAGGGGAGCTACGGTCCTCAGCAGTCACTGGGCAAACCCACTCTTGGCTATGTGGTCTGCAATTTGCATGAACAATTCCTTCCTTCTGAAATTATTTCAGTGTGAGGAGGAAGAAATTATATTTTTCTCCACGGTCACTCACTATTCATTTATCTTCCACCCTGCCATTTCTGGAGGCTTCCTGTTCTCTGGAAGGACAATAAAGATTATTAGCACAGACAGCAAGGAGGCTAGGTCCTGGGGAGTATAGGTAGAGCTTTATGGTATGTTTACAAAAGGTGGCCAAAAAGATGACATCAGTATGTACAGAAATGCAGCCACCACACTGGCACTGCACATGGCTGGGGCTTATGGTCCTCTGAAAAAAAAACCCAGCCTGTTATGATTTACAGCTGGGATAATTTTGGGGGAAAAGATCTTCCTTTTTGGTTTTTAAAGTACATCTTTCTTATCATGCCATTTGTAGTTATTGGGTATTCTGGGCCTGCTGAAGTCAATAGCTTTGCCCCTAAGCTCCACATAAGAAGGTCTGGAGGGGTTGGATCCACCAGGACTGGCTCCTGCTTCATGTCTGCCAGCACGTTTCTAGCCTTGCTCCCTCCTGCGATGCCTTCCCCCTCCTCTCGAGACTGTGTGTCTTGGCAGTGCCATTTCCCCATCTGATCCGTATCTCGCTCTTGGCTGCTGGGCTCACGGGGCGCAAGGGCGCGTTCCTGCTTCGCAGATGAACAACGCATCTCCGGGGCTGAGCTGCAGGAATGTGCTTCCTGAAGAGCTCGGCGTTTGAAACGGCAGCCTGTGTTTGGTCATACAACCCGGCTGTGATTACTGAAAATGTTACTCTACCTCTGGGCTGGAGCAGCTATAAGAAGCTTTAAAATCTCAAAATAAAAAACAAACAAACAAACAAACAAACAAACAAACAAAACAAAACAAAAACAAAAAAAAAAAACAAAAAAACAAACAAAAAACCCCACAACAACAACAACAAACAAAAAACAAACCAAAAAAAAAAAAAAGAGAAGAAAGAAGTCTATCCTGGAAAAACAAAGACGCAGAGTTCAGCAATGCTCATCACACTCTCAAGCACATTTTCTCTAATTACAGTTGACCCTTAGGAAGGGATCCATGGGACCAAACTGACCAAGCTCAGTTCAGTTATTGATGAAAATCCATGAGCAGGCACTGGTGTTACAGCTGGCTGGGACGGAGCCCACTCGCCAGGCACCTGCATTTACTGAGTGCTAGTTTACAGCCCAGAGAGCTTTCTCCTTATGACACCAGGCTGCACGCATTTTCTTTTCTGTTTCCCAACCCTGGCTGGTAATGCTGGTCAGTACTGGTGGTCACCCCATGGGTCCTGTTCCCTGCACATTTTAGGCATGCCTCCAGCGTGGCAGCCTGCTGCAACCCTGGGTGCTCCCCTGTGTCCCCATGCCCCTCTGTTGGGTGGTCGGTCCCTACAGCCCACCCTGCCTGTGGCATCCTCTTGCTGGGGGAACTGTCCAAGATCCATAATCCTGACCTGCGATGGGAGTCAGAGCTGTGAATTCACCCACAGGAGGGTTTATCCCTGGGCCCACACTTTGCAGGTTGAAGACACCACTCCAGAGCCACCAAGTGCCTTTAGCTGTGCGTGAGGAGCCACCCGAGCCTTGATGTAGCCTAGATTCAGCCCTTCTCCAGTCTGTCCAGCTCTGAGGATGGCAGCCTGCATCCTTAAATCAGCCGGGGGTGAGGGGGGGGAGCTGCCTGCAGCACTGCAGCCTGCCTGATGCCGAGGGATTGGCAGGACAGCGGGGAGGAGCCCAGGGGAATTGCCTTGGTTTCCATTAGCTTGGTTTGCTGCACTGCAATTTTTAACTCAATTACATTGTTTGTAAAAGGAGAGTTTATAAATGCTTGTCACCAGGAGAACAAAGTTACATAATTAAACAATTTACCAGAGAGTCTGTGGCTTCAGTGCAGTTCTCTGGGGTGATTCAATATTCCAATAAAAATACTGGGTGATACCATAAATATTGTAAATGGCTCTAGATGGTTTCCAAGGGCTATGTCAACTGTTTATTGCATTCAAAAAGACTAAGTGAAATCACAGGGAAGATAAAAACTAAATAAATAAAATAATGGGGAAAATAAAGCAAAAATATTTTCTTTTGTATTTTGAAAGCTCTGGAGGATGTTTTTGGACAGCATGAGAGAAGACCACTGTATTTACCAGAATAAGGAACCGAGGGTGTCTGTGTGCACTTGTTCATAGGTTATATATGTATGTCCCCAGGGTGTCTGTGTGCACTTGCTCATAGGTTATATATGTCTGTCTGTGGGCGCTGTGCACAGATGTTTAGATAAAATCTGCCCACAACATAGGGAAAACCTCTTTGTTTTTTTCGGTTGCTTGTGACATTTGCAAATTCCAGCCACAGAGCCCAAGAACACATCTCTTTCCCTGGCCAAGCCGTCGGGCTCCTGCAGCCCTGCCACGGCGAGGGCAGCCAAAGGAGGATGTCACGAGTGGGTGGAAATGCGGGATGGATTACCCATATCACTGAAAACTTGGGAAGGTTGTTTAAAAGTTGTTACTCAAGCAAGATAAATATTTGCCAGGCATGATCCCACCAAGGAATGTGTTAATAAAATATAAATGTTCTGAAAAGGAAATAAATGTTGTGGATGAGAAAACAAGGACAAAATGAACTTGTGGCACCTCCAAAGGCAACAACTGAAAACATATTTACACAGACTGAAGCCTCTTCTGTCTTCTGAGGAACATAAATTGCAGTATGTGCAGATGACCCATTAGAGTAGTGGGTTTTCAGTGTGCCATAAAAACCCAAATACCTCTTCCAAGATAATGTTTGTCCACCTTTTACTAATGTGGAGATGTGGGGCTTGGCTGCTCGAGGGAGCTACTCGACTCACCGCATGAGCAGCCCGTGCCAGCGCCCAGCACAGAAGCTTTGGGGCTGCCCAGGGTGGGCACCCAAGGCCATACCGTGCCGCGGCAGGCTGGCAATCCCCTGTAGCCTACGGGCAAACCCCTACTCCACCCCAGCCACAAACTAGGCAGCTGCTGGGGATTTTTATGGGCTCCAGCGAAGGCTTTTGGCAGACAAAGCACCAAGAGGCAGTGGTGGAGCCCCGGAGGTGATGTCCTGGTAGGGGAGTCCCCATGGTGATGCCCCAGTGATGGAGCTCCAGGGCTGATGCCTTGGCAGGTGGCTCGGAGGTGGTGCTGGGGGCAACCACAAGACCCCACTTGCCGCTTAGGGAAGATGCACATCCATCAGCTCACTTGCAGGCCCTGCGGATCTCACTCTCGCACTGGCAGAAAAACGCGAGAAAACGCCCCAGCTGGGGAAGGCTGCAGCTACTCAGCGGCCCCCACCACGGCAGAGGTAAGCAGAGGACAGCAGGGCTTACGAGGGGCAGCACCCAGAAGGGGTTTTGGAAGAGGCAGCACCAGCAGCGAGAAGGCGGAGCGCTACAGCGAGGGCGGCGGGGAGCGGCACAGGCGGGGCTTGAGGAGTTCGCCGGGTTCCGGCCTGGGCTGCCGGAGGTGGCCGAAGCGCGGGCGCGGCGCGCAGGCGCGGTGTGGCGGCGCGGGCCTGTGATGGCGGCGGCGGGCGGCCTGCGCTCCGGCATGGCGGGCGCCGCGGGCTCTGAGGCGGACGAGCTTGAGGCCGAGGCGGGCGCCGCGGGCCCTGCGGTGGCCGAGGAGGAGCCGCTGCCGCCGCCGCCACCGCTGCCGGGGCTGCGGTTGGTGCAGCAGGGCGCCGAGGCGCACGTTTACCGGGGGCTCTTCCTCGGGCGGGCGGCGGTGGCCAAGCTCCGCGTCCCGAAGCGGTACCGGCACCCGGCGCTGGAGGAGCGGCTGAGCCGGCGGCGCACGGCGCAGGAGGCGCGGTCGCTTCTGAGGTGCCGGCGGGCAGGTGGGCCCAGGAGGCGGCGTGAGGCGGGGCTGCCCCGGCAGCACAGACCCCCCCCCCACACACACACACACACCGCCCGGGGGCTCCGTGCTCCCCCGCAGACCCCCGGCTCGGCACGTCGCTCGGAGCAGACAGCGGGCACCTGAGGGGTCCCCCCGCTCCAGCCTGGAGGCTGCGGGCCGTTTCTCCTCCTCCCGGGGACACCCGCTCTGCTTTTCCGCAGTGCCCCCCCTTCAGACGCAGCTGGCCCTCGGCCAGAAAGCCCCCGTGCGTGTGTTGCGGGGGGGGGGGGGGGGGGCTGAGCTTGCTGCCACGCTTTTGCTGCCAGCTAGTTTTAAGGCTGGGGCAACGCAGGTTGGAACCCGGGGGGTGGCGGAGGACATGCCTGGGTGTGGGTTTATCGGTGGCCAGGAGTGATCTCAACTGGCGTTTCTGCTTAAGGCTTGCATCGTCTCTGTTTTGTCGTTAAAGTTGGAAAATCCTGTAAATTAACTGCTAGCATTTCATTTGTTTGTTCCAATAGGGATTCCAGCTCCAGCAGTCTACTTTGTGGATCATGTCACCAACTCCATATATCTTGAAGATATTGTAGACTCAATTACCGTTCAAGATCATATTAATTCTGTCCGAGGAAGTGGAAATGATACCAGTAGCCTCCTTACATTAGCAGAGAAGATGGGTGAGCTGTTAGCAAAAATGCATGATCAAGATCTTATACATGGGGATCTTACAACTGCCAATATACTTCTGCGGCCACCCACGGAGAAGCTAGACTTGGTGCTGATAGACTTTGGACTCAGTTTTGTTTCGGGTCTTCCAGAGGATAAAGGAGTTGATTTGTATGTTCTGGAAAAAGTCTTCCTTAGCACTCATCCAGATACTGAAGCTATGTTTAAAGTTCTGCTAAAGACCTATGCAGCTAAATCTAAAAAATCTGGTCCTGTGATCAAAAGGCTGGATGAAGTACGACTAAGGGGAAGGAAGAGATCCATGATTGGGTAGAAGAGAGTAGGCTTAGGGATGGAGAAATGTTAATACTTAGGTTTTGCAAATATGGTTATTTATATTTCCAGTTGGTTTTATTTTACAGATCGCTATTTTGATAACTGTCTTCAAATAAATAAATTTTAATGAGTTGAAGTGTCATAAAGTAACCAAAGTAATTCTTAGATGGGAGCACAGATGAGAGAAACAACTAAAGGTCACTTCTTTCCTAAATTAAATATTTCTTCTAAAAACTAGTTTACAGTGTCAATCTACTCGCCCTCTTCGTGTGGTTAGAATCTTACAGAGTGATCTTTCAGCCTGTGGACCATGGATTTGTGGGAGGTAAGAGGGAACTGGGGATACCAGAGCGTCTATAAAAGGTAATTAAGAAAACCAAATGTCATTTTGTCTCAGAAGACTTTACAACAGAGTGCTTAAATTCATTATAAATGACTCTACACATCTTGAAAATTTTTAGGAGTGCTGAATTCCAGGACAGGCAATGCTGAAATACAGTGCTAAACATAAGACAGGTTCATTTTCTTCCAGTAGTAATTTTGATAGTCAGTTAATATTTTCCTTAATTTTGTTAAGCGAATATAAAAATTGTTAAGCACAGTTTTCTGCTGAGAAACTTTAACCAAGAAGCCTGCTGTAAATTTCCATTTTTGGAACCTTGTAGGAGGGACAGCTTGTGATGCGATTGCCTGTCTAGGTAGGCGGTTGGCAGAGGTAGGCAGTAATGCTGTTTTTTTGGTAACATTTTCTCTGTATTACTCGATTTTCTGGATTACTATATCCAAGTGTGAATGTAAGATGGCCCAGTGGAAAAACTTATAAACCCCCCAGCATTTGGGCTAGAAGATGCAGCGGGGAGGGGCGGTGGTGGGCATGGCTCTGCCTGGCCCGGGAGAGGGGGCGATGGTGGGCTGCTTCCTCCACGCTTACAGCAAAGCAACCTCAGCAAACCCCCCAGCCTGGGGACACGCTCGGAGGGGCCGGGGCGACCAGGAGCCCTCCCGCTGGCCACCGGGACCCCCGCCCGCAGCGGGCCGGTAGCCCCGGCTGCCTCGGGGGCGCGGCGGGCGGGCGGGCGGCGCCGAGAACCACAAGGCGGCGCCGCGGTACCGAGCTCGTTCTGTGTGGTGGCGCCGCTGCAGCGCTGCCGCTTTCAACCGCCGGGGTCGGGGGTTCGCGGCCGCGCAAGTGTCCTAGCGCTGCGGGCTGCCCGTGCCCGGCGCGCATTCACCTCTTGCCAGAGGAGCCGCCTGGGCGAGTGCCCGGCCCCGGCATGGGGCCCCGGGTTCCACCGTCCAGCCACAGCACCCCCAGCTGCTGCTGGGCACCTCGTTTTTATTGCTTGGGTGCCCCAGCCGGGCTCACCCCTCACGGAGCACGCCGCAGCCCGTGCTGGGGGCAAGGAGGAGCCCCGTTTCCATGCAGGGAGCAGTGGGGTTTTAGGAGCCGCTGCTGTTGCCACAGGTCTCTCCTGAGACCTGGAGAGCGAATGCAACAGCCCAAGCAGCGCGGGGTCACTTAAAACAGTGCTCCTCAGGAGGTCCGGGGTGGCCTGCGGGCTGCTGGAGTGGGGCCTGGTGGCGTGGTGGGAGCAGGTGGATGTGAGCTAACGAGTCCCCCTAACGAGGCCTGAGCTAAGCCCCGAATCCTGGACCCGCTGAGGGGAGGCAGCACGCCTGGCCTCCCTGCCCGCCATCCCCCACCTGTACAAACACCGCTTTTACTGTCTCCTGGTGATGCCAGGATCGACTTATGTTTGTAAAGCCCTTTGAAGTCTGTTTCTAACTATCGTCGTGTTTATTAAAATGCAGCTCTCCCTGCGGGACAACGGAGTAGAAACAAAGTTGATCAACTGCAAGTTTTTATGGCCGGCGCGGTGCTCTGAGCTGAAGGCCCACAGCGGAGCGGGGGTCAGCAGCCTGCGGCGAGGCCAGCCCCCTCGGGGTGCTGGTGCGTGGGACTGGGCTGCTAGCAGGGACTCCTGAATTGGCCTCTGCTGAAAGCTGCTCTGGGATGGAGCTTCAAAACAAAGCAGAACATTACTGGTAATGAAAAGCAAAATGTTTTGCTTTTTCACTGCATGATAAAACTCCTCCTCATTATGTAAGTGTTACTTTTTGCACATCTGTGTTATGGCTTGCTGATATTTGTGCTTGATCAGCCTGATGTGTCTATGGATTGCTGTAGTGAATACTGTTTGAGGGTGGAAAAATCACAGCAGGTGCATGTCCAGCAAAGAGGACCTGCAAAGTGTCCACCCCACATCTTCCTGCAGCCTCAGCTGTATCACTGGTGGTGCCGAGGGCAGCAGCTCCTTGGATAAATGATGATTCCCTGGCTGGTTCACAAGGCAGGTGGAGTTTCCAGTCTTGGTTTGACTGAGGATAGGTTGGCTTGCTGCTGTATTAGCTTTCAGTGCATCTGCAGGTCATAAGCAACACTGAAGAATTATTATTATTATTATTGTTATACATTGAATTATTAATACTCAGGCTTTATGTCCAGTGTGCATGTATTCTCATAGGGAAAATAGGACTCCTGTTTTTTGGTGTGGGTTTTTTTTTTTTTTATGTGAATAGTTTATCTGCTGCAAATACCGTTTCAAGCCACCAATATTATTTCAGAGTTTGGTCTGACTTTGTAAAAAGTCCTTGCAACCCAGTTTAGCTTGTTTGAGTTTAAAAGGAAAATCAATAATATAAAATTTACTCTCTTAAGTGAAATTGAAACAATAATCTTTAGAAAGAGGTAAAAATGACCTTTTGGGCTAGAAATCCAAAGTACTTCTTAACACAAAGCAACTGTCTGTCTTGTTTTGTATTTCCTCCACCGGCTGAAGTGCCCCAGTGGGCAGTCCCCTCTTCTTCAGAGTCCTGCCCGGACACTGAGCATGGCCACAGCTCTGTGTGACAGCAGGAGGAGTGGTGATGTCCTGCTCCTGCTGACCCAGAGGGGCTGCTCTCACTGGCCTTCACCCCCAACCCCTCCCGGGGGGCACCGAGGGGTGGGGGTGGGGCATCACCTATGTTTCACCCCACCGCTGAGGGTCTCTCTGCCACCATCACTGGCACCAGAAAAATCTATTTGGGAAAAATATTCTTTCAACAGACAATGTTTATAACTGCATGTTGGATAGACAGTTGATCACTCTGGGTCTTTCTACTGCTTGAGGCTTCCTGCTGTTGGGAAGGAGTTGTTGTTGTAGAGGACCAGCTTCAGGCTGGCCAGGAACAGTTTCATCTCCAAGGGCTTCCTGGCACCCACCTGATCTTGCTCCACGCCTGGGTATCACCCAGAGTGGCATGAACACAAGGAATGTGCAAATAAACTGTGAAAAGAGAAATAAAATGGAAAGAAGAAGTGTTTCATCAGCAGAATTTGCAGCCTTAGGGTTTCCAAGGGAATTGCTGGTTGTTGTTGGAGTTGCCTTTTCGTTTGTTTTGGTGCCTGACCATCATCAGTGATTTCTCCCATGGGAGTGGGGAGCCAGCTTGTTAGCTTGGGTTACCAGCCTGACTTTAGTTTGTAGTAATAAGGACAAGTTCTCTTTTGCCCGTTGATGCCATAAGTGCAGAAATGAAGTAAGGGGATTTTTGGAGATAGATGGGAGTTGTAGACCTATAGGATCACTAAGAGGAAAAATAGATGTGAAAAGAAACACATACAAGTAGGGCAAGAAACAGGAATGAAATTACGGTTGCATAACCTGGGCATGCTGTTACCATGACTTTTGGACAGTGGCTGCTCTGTGCTGGCAGTTACTGTGTGTATATGTAAAAACTGTGCATACAAGCTACGCAGTATAGGTTTTTTGAGTGAACTTTTTTTAGTCTAGGCCTTGATGTCTGCAGGAAATGGATATTTTCCAGTTTTGCAAGATGCAAAACACTGATAACCTTTTGCAACCCTCCTCTCCAATCACTGCTGATAGGAAACCAAGTTAGTGCAATAAAAGCATAAAGGCTCATTTGTAAACCAGAGTTCACTATGTGAGGGTCACTACAGATAAATAAAGCCTCTCCCTGGCCCAAGCACAAGCTCTGTCCCACAGTGGTCCCTTTGGGCACTACAGGGCACCTCTTTCTTTTGTACTGAACTTACTCTGTAAGTAGTGGAGAGTAACGGCACAGGAGTGGAGAAAGGTGTGATCCCAGCAGTGGCCATGGAGCACAGCGAGGGCAACTGCTGCTGGCACTGGAAAAGGGGTGGTAGAGATGGAGTCTACAAAGAAAAAAATTGGTGAAATAATTCCCAGCTGACGTCCTGGAAGGCCAAGAGAAGCAGCAGGTGTAGCCCCTGCGCTGTGCTCTTGGCTTGGAAGCGCTGAGGCTGAGCCCAGCACCCAGGCTGAGAGGGGCTGGGTGGGGTGGGAGAAGGGGCTGTCCTGGCAGAGCTGTGACTCACGTCTCGAAGAGGGAACCGTTCCCCTCACCCTCAGCACTGGCAGAAGTCTGCGTCTGCATAAGAGAAAGAACAGACTGTGGCATTGGCAGCTTGTTATTCTTTTGACACTCTTTTTAACTTACAAGGTTGATTTTGAAAGAAAAAGCTTTGTGGAGGTCCTTTGGTCCAGCATGTGGCACACCCTCATAGACGTGCTCCCAGCCTCTGACTGATGGGAATATTGGGTAAGCTGGACCTGTTTTAAGCAGCTGTGTTGTTTTGAGGGCCTGAATTTTGCTTTCACATCTTCAGCCGTCCATCTGCCCATCCTCTCCATCATGCACCACTGCCCAAGTGATAAGGCAGCTTTTGCTACCATAGGCCGTTGTGGTGCCAATAAGGTGGCATAGGAATCTCCTACTCATTATCACGACAGCTTTTTACTCATGTTGTTTAGCAGTTAAAGAAAAGGGAGATAAAAACCCCCATAGCTTTCTCACAGCCAGCTCTGTGCTTTCTTTTGGGCCCCAAGAGAAGGTGCACTTGCCAGTGGGGCTGGGCAGCCGCGGGGCCGGGCGCCAGGCGGATGCCGGATCCTCGCTTTGCCAGCGGCCCCCGGCAGTGCCCGGCAAAAGCTTTTGTGTCCGCTCTGCTATTTGAAAAGAGCCGCAGTGGTGATGCCGTCACCCTTTAGCCCCTGCTGGGGATGGGTGTGGGGATTAACTGATTTGTTACTATTTGTGCAAAATTATATATATGTGCTGTTAAGGAGAAGGACGGGAACGAAGGAGGTGCATCCAGGGGTACAGTCCTGATTGTATCACCACGCTCTTCCTCTCTAATTTCTTGTTCC